AGATGCTGGAATCCAAATGGAGCTGGATGGAGAGATGCCTAAGGACGGATATCAGCTTGTGTGCAACTCCAAATCCTGGATGCCTTTTAAAACAGGCATCTGAATCCATGTGACCAACCTTGAGTGCAATTGCCAAGCTATGAGCAGATGGGAGATTTTGATGCTTCTCCTGTCTTGCAAAGCTGCAAAGGTTGCAATATCAAGTCTAACTCTGCTGTGCTTCATCCTCTCCCACCCACCAAAGCCCTGTGCTCCCGAGATGCACTTTAAGGTCCCTTCCAACCCAAACCACTCCAGGATTCTCTGACCTTCAGCCAGGATAAAGAGCTGCTACCCCTTTCTGGAGCAAGGGGCTTATCCCTAAGTTTTCCTCAAAACCAAAACATGCTCCTTCCTTGTGCCCAACAGCCTGGAACACTAGAAAGAGGGAACTCTGTCAGCCAGTCACGATTTTCTTTGCCAGAGCGGGAAAAATTGAACAGAAAATACTCATCCAGTTTCTGATCCTCTTTCTCTGAAGGTCTCTTTTTGGCTGCTCTCACAAATGGATACCCCTGGGCCTGTCTCTCACCACGGAGCTCTTCTCATATTCTTAGTGGTGGGACTGCCCTGTTGGAACAGGGGGATGGAAATACAGACAGCACCATCCTCCAAATAAATGGAGGAAAAATGTATTTTTATTATGAAATCCTCCTATGAATCATCCCCTCTGCATTTACACTTTGCATTTGCCACTGAAAATCAGATTTCACCTATTATTTGGTTGATCTCCTACAACCAGTGAGGGATGGAAAGGAACCATTTTCATGTACCTGTTCCTAAATATAAAGAATTCCTGAAATTCTCGACGTGCCTTCAAAAAAGAAAGGATGTTTTTCCTTACACAAAATCCAAATATGAATGTGTGGGTTGCAAGCAGGACTGGTTTTCCTCTCTCTTTTTTGTATGGTGCTGCCAGATATGAAAATATACAACATGAAAGAGGTTGTAAATTATTTACTTTTCTCTAAAAATACTGTCCACTTGTGGAATTCAGGTTGGGCTCTGGTTCTGGCTTTAAAATTTCCAAGATTCTGGGAATCAAAAACATTACACTCAGTGTTTCAGTGCCATTTTGTTTTCCCTTTCCCTGATATTTTTTAATTCTGTATATGAAAGACAGAATCAGAGAATCAAGGCACCTTGTGCAGAGAGAAACTTGGTCCTCTTTGTAGTTCCCCTTTAAGTACTCGGCTTTAAGCGACTTTCAGCTGAAGGAGGGAGGGTTTAGATCAGATATTGGGAAGAAATCCTTCCCTGTGAGGGTGGTGAGGCCCTGGCACAGGTTGCCCAGAGAAGCTGTGGCTGCCCCATCCCTGGAAGTGTCCAAGACTGGGTTGGATGAGGCTCGGACCAACCTGGGATGGTGGGAGGTGTCCCTGCCCACGGCAGGGGAGTTGGAAAATTATGGTCCCTCAGGTCCCTTCCAAACCACTCTGGGATTCTCTCATTCTATGAATACCAAAGTGCAAGTTAATTCCAGTCCATATTCTCCTTATTTCATCTAAAGATATTTTACATCCCTGACAGTCTTCCCTATTGGATCATTAAGAAGTATTTTAATTAATTAACACTCTACAGTCATCTGAGATTCTTGATTAATACTAGAGAAGTGATTAATACAGGCATGTGCCTGCTCCCTGAAATCATAACTGGGTCAGAAAAGACACACAGTCCTCTCCAGAACTCAGAGAAGCAACGTCCCCATGAGCCTACACAGAGGTGTTTGTGCTCTGGATCCTTCTAGAATCTGAGGGATTATTTCTCTACATGTCAGGAATTTAAGTTTAGACAAGTAACTTTTAATTCTTTGCGTGATGAAACCCATACTCAGAATATCAAAGGAAAGAGCAGAGATATAAATAATCATCCAAACACGGTAGTTTCCCCCTCTTCTCCTGGATGGGCTTTCCCTCAAACCAGAGCATCCATCACATCTCTCTTATGTGTCATAGTTTAGCCTCTGCCCAGAGCTTGGGAAGGTCCAAACACACCTATCACTGGCCACTAGAAACCTCTGTGGAGCTTTCCCATCTCTCCATAGACAGTTTGTTGAAATGGGAGAAATAAACATCAGTTCTCCCGTGGTATTTTGCTTTCTCCCACATGTAAGTCCTCAAGTATGTGATATGAACATTTATGTGCCCTCCACTGTGCACATGAACTAGGTGGAAGGAAGGAAAAGGCAAAAAAATGCAAATAAAGCTTCTTAGTTGGAGAATAATATATATATATTTAATATTTATGGAATGGTTGGGGTTGGAAGGGATTTTAAAGACCATCTAGTTCCAACTCTCCCACTAGAAGGTCAAGTCACAGTCAATTAATATCAACTCTCCTATGAAAGAACCAGGATTATCTCCTATTTTATCAACTAAATTTATATGAAGGGAAGAGATCAACTGCCTGCTTAATATAAGCAGCAAAGTAACAAGTTAAACTGCTCCAAATCTGTGTATAATTTCTGTATTATATCAGGACTAGAACCAGCACCTTTAATTTGATAGGACCATAATCACATCGCCAAAAGTTCTAATGACTGCTGGAATTCCATTTTCTAAATTCTCACTTGGAAGTGCATTTAAAATTTTTCAGTTTTAAATTTAATTTTCTTTTTCAATTTCTAAGGACATTTTAAAAGTCTGCTTCAAGATAGCAGTGGTCTTGTATCCATGACTCCAGATCATGGGTTGAGAATCCAATTTTCTTCAACGTCCATCCTCACTTTTAGCAATGTTTTGATGCTTTAAAAACCACACTTTATGGGTCTCTAGTCATGATCTTTAGAGCACATAATTGCATTGAGATACTTCCACGCTGAGAAAACACCAGGAGCACTTTAATTGGTTGTTCTTCTCTTCCCTCGTGGTCTCCTGTGTCCAAAAGGAAGATATAAAACCTCTGACATCCCCCAAAAGAAGCATTTCCTGCATCCAGGAAAAAAAAAATCAAATATTTCTCTAGCAGATGAGTCTCCAGATGAGTAAAATTTCCTTCCATTGAAGGAGTCTTGTTGACTGTGTGAATTTTGGATCCACCAAAGGAAAAGGTTGTTGCATCACCATGCAACAAAATAAATACTAATATATGTTTAAAAAGGGGGAAATTTTTGTGGTTTTCTTAAATTATTATTTTTGTGTCTAAATTTTTATCTGGGGACTGAAATTTCTTGCAGGTCTTCATCAGAGAGCACTGACTTTTTAGCAGCTGCTCGTGCTTCTGTGAGTTCATTTCAGAGCATGATCAAGAGGTGACAATAAGGAGAAACAGCCACATGTACATAACCAAGGCATATTTGGGGGGGTTGAAATCTTCTATTTTTGGCCTTTCACCAGGAATCTCTCAAATTGCCTGTGGTGGTGTCAAAATCAATGGTAATGTAACAGGATCTTTTGGCTAAAAATAAACCTCAACTGAATGTTTGTGGAACTTGTCACCTTATTCTAGGAATCAACTGAGGGACCTGTGTCCTGACCTGAGTCACTCCAGATATTTTAGGGAGTAAATGGTCATTTCTAGAAAATCATTGAGATTTTAGGATGCACTAAGCCTTCTCCAAGGCTTGAAAAACAAGATCAAAGTTGCCAAAAATGGGATTCACCTGACGTAGGGGTAATCATCCAAAATTCTGGAATTTATATTGGTCATCCAGACTTCCTCACACCAACCTTTACAAAGCAAAATGCAGGTGAGATTTGTTGTAACTGGTGTCTGCAAACACCTTTGGAATCTAAAATCCTCCTTTCTGTAACCATTTAGTATCCTCTCCTGGAGGAAGCATCTTAATTTATAATTATTTTATTTTGGCAACATAGACATTTCTGGTTTGTCTGTGACTTTGTCCACATAACATTGATATTTACAGAATTATTTAACTGCATTAACAGTTCTTTTATTAGATGTCCTTCTGTAATCCTTATTTTTCCTGTAAAGGTGAGCAAGATTTATCTGCCCTGTGTAGAATTCATACTGGCATCAGCAGAAATGTGTATTAACTTTCTCAAAATTAAAATTATGGTTTTTTTCTTGAAATGTTAAATTAATACCCAGAATTCATTTTCTAGCAGACTGAGTCCAATTCAAATTCAATTAATAATTTCAGGTAAAAAAAAAAAAGGTGGGGAAAACTGCTTGGAAATCCTAAAAATATTTAAGTTTGAATATTTAAAAACAATCTTCATGACTTGCTTTTCATTAACTGCTTAAGAATTAATCAGCCTCGGGAAAATAAACCCACAATATATTTGTAGGGAATCCTAGAATGACATGCGATATTTCACTTTAAACTCAATGTTTCCTGCTTGTTCCAAACTTATTATTTCTTTTTTTCTAAAAAAAAATAAATCTGCTTTTGTTTCAGCATTTCAACCAACTTTTCCAGTATTTCATTTTCTTGCTGCCTAAGAAAAGTCATTATTAACTGTGCCTGAACTGCTTCCTCTACTTGAAACACAGGGAAATGTGTAGCAGCTTTTATACTTCAATAGGATGTTTTTTCTCAAGTGATATTGTGCTTACCTGACTCAACCCAGACATTTTCTGGAGTAAACAGTCACTTGCAGATTATAATTCAGATTTTTGGATGTACCAAGCCTTCACCAAGAAAGGACACAGAGTCTTTTCTATACCTCTGGTGTGGGTATATATGGATGGTTTCTATACACTATGGCCTAGATCTTAAAAAATCCCACCCGAGCTCCTATTTCATAGATACTAAAGGAATATACAGGAAGGAATTCCACATTTAAAATGTGTCTCTAAAGCTCTCTTTGTCCTCCTAAGCTTTCCTTTCAATGGGTATCATCCAAACCATTGGTTTCCCCTCTGACTTGGGCAAGGTGCCTGAATTTCCACCACTTTTTCCTGTGCAGGATGTGATGCATTTGCGCCTCGACATCCACCAGGACCAAGTCAGCCCCTGACAAATCTTTTGTGCACAAAGCCAAACACAAGGGCATGAAATGCCTGAAGGAAACTGCACTGCCCTGACTGAGTTCATTCTCCTGGGTTTCACAGACTGGCCTGAGATGGAGATTCCTTTGTTTGGGCTCTTCCTGCTCATCTCCGGCACCACTTCGGTGGGGAACGTCGGCCTCATGGCACTTGTCCGGCTCACTGCCTGCCTTCACACCCACATGTATTATTTCCTGAGCAATTTATCCTTCCTAGACTCAGTTGTTCTTCTGCCATCACTCCCAAGATGCTGGTGAACCTCTTGGCCCAGCACAAAGCCATTTCTTTCCTTGGCTGTGGGATGCAGATGTTCCTCTTTGCCGCTTCCACTGAGTGACTCGTTTTGGCCGCCATGGCCTACGACAGCTACGTGGCCGTTTGTCAGCCTCTCCTCTACTCTGAGGCCATGTCCCACAGGATCTGCACCTCCATGGTGGCTGGGGCGTTCCTCAGCAGGGGTCTGACCTCGCTGGTCCACACCTGCCTCGCATTCTCGCTGCCGTTCTGCGGCTCCAGATGGATCAACCACTTCTGCGACATCCCGCTGCTGCTGGAGATCTCCCGCTCTGACACACGCCTCAATGAGGTCCTGCTCATCACCCTGTGTGGCTTCATCCAGACCAGCACCTTCCTGAGCATTGCTGTGTCCCACATCTCCATCCTCAGCACCATATTCCGCATCCAGGTGGCTGAGAGCAGGTACAAAGCCTTCTACACCTGCAGCTCCCACCTGATGGCCATCGCGTTGTCCTATGGCTCCCTCCTCTTCACCTATTTAAAGACCAGCTCCAACCACTCCTCCTGGGACACAGACAAAGTAGTGTCTGCATTTTATACTCTTGTCTTTCCCATGCTGAACCCCCTGATTTACAGCCTGAGGAACAAAGAAGTGAAGGATGCCCTGAGGAGGACAGTGGAGAGGAGGGTCTTTTCTCAGGGATTTTCTTAGAGTGTGTTTCTGGTCCAAAACACAATAAAAGCACCAGTGATGGGAACCATTGGGCTAAATGTAGGTGAGTCGTTAGGAATATCTGCATGGCGGGTTGCTTCCCAGGTCCATTTGGTAATCACTGGGAAAAAGCAGTCAACTGAGAAGGTGATTCACCTTATCAAACAGAAGCTCAGGTCAGGTGGATCCCATCCCAGAAGGATCCAGTGAGTGACAACCCTGGAACTACATGGTCTTTAAGGTCCCTTCCAACCCAAACAATCCCAGTGTTCCATGATCTCTTTCTCCTCACTGTCCATAACGAGTCTATCCCAAATGCAGAAGAAAGTTATATTTTTGCAGATTACAATTACCGAGACAACTCTTCACCAAGATGTTTGAAAGAAAAGTCCAATTAAAACAATTATTACATATGGGTGTGATTCTCTGTATTAGATTTGGAAAGCTAAAAGCTTTTGCACAGGGAAAATACTTCTCATATTTGACAGCCAGTTCTGCCGTACCCACTACAGAGAAAGGAGTCGTTTATTTATTTATTTATCTATTTATTTATTTATTTGTGTTACCATATTTTTGTGGCTGGACTTGTTCAGGTTTCACTAGGCACCTCCCTGCCTGTTCTGCTCCCCCCAGACATTTTTCATGCTTGTTCTCCTCCTGTGTTCTTGACAGTTTTACTACTCGTATGTATTTTTCCATCATCTCTTTCTGCCTGCAGACCACAAGCCCTTGTTTCCCTTCCCACAGCATAATTAGGTTTTTATTTCTGCCTAATTGTGTTATGAAATGCTTGTTGGTGGTTATGGGCCCGGCACTGTTACAAAACACACGCACTGATATCAAGACAGACTTTTGTAGCGCACCTGTGTCTGGATTCAGCATAAACAAGTATTAATTGTATCCTGGTACAACATGAGCGTGGTACTTCTGCTTTGTCTGCACAGAATTCCTGACATTTCAGCACTGGACCCTTTTTTGGTGGATTTTCCACTTGCTGATGTCTGTAGAAGCCCTTCTAGTTGCCCTTGATTGCTCCTTGTCACTCTAACCTGCAGTTAAACAACAGGTTTCCTAATCCCATTCTTTCCAAGCCCACGGAATGCTCCCCACTGACAAAGGCAGTGTTAGATAGGATATTTGGAAGGAATTCTTCCCCGTGAGAGTGGTGAGGCCCTGGCACAAGTTTTCCAGAAAAACTGTGGCTGCCCCTTCCCTGGAAGTGTTCAAGGCCAGGTTGGACAGGGCTTGGAGCAACCTGGTCTGGTGGAAGGTGTCCCTGCCCATGGCAGGGGAGTGGAATTCTATGATCTTTAAGGTCCCTTCCAACCCAAACCATTCTGGGATTCTGGGATTCAATGATAATCAGGACTTCGTCTTACGAACAGTGAAAATGGTAATTTCGCAGGCTAGCAACCTCAGAGGAAGCAAAACCTTCCTCCTATGGATTGAAAACATCTCTGTAACCCTCCCCTGTCATGTTGTTCCCAGCTTTCAGCTCCCTGGGCCGAGTGTCCAAGGTCCAACTCCGGGATGGCCCAACTGCATAACTGTGGCTTGGGCTGCTGAGAAACCGTGCTGTGGGAAGAGCTGTGAGACAGTGGAACCATTAAGAATGGGAAAGACCTCTGAAATCGAGCCCAAACGTTAATCCAGCACTAACCATGTGTCCTAAGTGCCGAGTCCCAGCAGGGAGTTACGAGTACAGTCAGTGGCAGAGTTGGAGCTGTGAGTGGCTCACAGAGCCAGAAGGACACGTAACAGCAGGGAAATTATTATAATTACACCGGAAAATGATTGTCATTGCGCAGGAAAAAAAAATCGGGAATAGTCTGACCGCGCTGCCAGAGGCGGTGTCAGCACCAGTGATGTCATCGCAGCGCGACGGCGCTGCCCGATCCCCACAGCGCTGCCCGATCCCCACAGCGCTGCATCCCGGCAGCGCTGGGGGATGGCATAGAACATTCTGCAGATCCTCAAGTGTCCATGACGCGAGAACAGCGCGGGAACCGCCCTGGACACCGGTGGAGGGGCCCCGCCGGGCCTCGGGAGCGGCGATGGCGGGGGTACCGCTGACTACAACTCCCAGCGTGCCCCGGGGCGGCGGAGCGCGCCTCCGCCCGCAGCGCCCCCTGCCGGCTGCGGGTGTCAGCGCAGCGGGGGCGCCCCCGCGTGGCGGCTCGGCCCGGCCGGGACAAACCGGGACAAACCGGGACAAACCGGGACAAACCCGCACCTCCACGGTGTGGAAGTGCTGCTCGGATCGGTTCTGCCACGGGAGAGAGGATTCCAGTGGGTTGTGACACAGCCTCAGGAAGCAGAGCAGATGTGTGTGAAGACCGACAGAGTGGGAAGGACTTCTAGGAAAAGGAGTTTTCCCGTGACGGGATCGGGCTGGTGTGTGAGCTGTGCCCACGGAATGGCACTGGGAGGCACCACTGGCAGCTTTGTTGTCCTTCCACCGTCCCCAAAATTCTATTAAGCTTCTGCGTTCGAGGTTGGAATGGGAGGAAGAGTGCTGGGAGTTGTGACCAGCTTCCCAGTGTTCTAATTCTTGACTGTAATCCTGGTGCTGGAAGAAGATGGGAATGTTAACGAAGTTTCAGGAATCCTCCTAGAGAGAGCTGTAAAGGACAGCATCCTTCACAAGGCAACTGGACTGAAATTAGAGCTGAAATTAAAGCTAATTAACATTCCTTTGTCTCCTGATTTCTAGTATAACACACGTTTTCAAAGAGGAGAAAAAAAAGTGGGTTTTAAAACTTGTCCTTGGCAAATGAATCGTTACTTTGTTAATTTGGTTATTGTAGATATCAGGCAAAGCACATCGCCTGAGAATGAATTGTTATCTCACTCTCAGTAAGGAAGATGAGTAAAAGTCATGTGCTGGTCAGGAAGAGATTCTTCCCCCACTTCCCAATTCCCAATCCAACTCTCAGGGTTTGTTTGCTTTCTTAGGTGCTGTTGCTCAGTCCTGATCCTCCCACCTGACAGGAAAGCAGAAACTCACTGAAACAGAGAGATGGGGCTGGCTATGGCTGAGGGTGATAGGGGGAAAGGGGTAGAACTGTCTCCTCCCAATTACTTCTGGAAAAAGCCACTTCTTAAGGCCCTGGAACAAGAAGAGAAAGTTTCCAGTTGATCTAAAGTAACGGTGGTGTCACTTTCTCTTCCCATTCCTCAGCCTCTCCGTGCACTGGTGGTTCTTATGCTGGATGTGGCTGTGGAAACACAGATTCTCAGTCCCCTTCCTCTTTTTTTTTTCCAGTCTCTGCAATTCCCAGCTGCTTCCCAGCTTGTCATCCTTGTTATTACAGGTCTCTCTGTGGCTGTGGTGTGACTGTGGGGCAGTTTAGGCTGAAGTAGTTTGGGAAGTACTCTTTTCTGTGGATTGAGCTGCTTTTCTGGCCTCTGGAATACAGCAAGAAAGTATTGAACCCTTCCATTCCCACCTGATGAATTTTGTGATGTCACAGCCTTGCAAGGAGGACTAATCTGGTGATGCAAAGGACAAGGGCTTCCAGTAGAAAACTTTGGAAGTGGATCTTCTTTCCTTTCCTAGGCTGACACAGTCAGTCATCCATGTTCCTCTTGAAGTTTACGGGGTAGGGAGGGGGTGTAGAGCCTGGTGACTCCAGAGTACATGAGAGTAAATACAGGCAGGGAAAAAGGTTGGAATTGCCTTTTTCAGGCACTCCCCACTGTTAGTTGAACCTGGCTGAGGCAGGGATGCAGGCGCCTAAGAATTCCAAGAAAAAGCTTTTTTGTGTGGTCATGCTGAGCCTGCTGGTCTCTGCTAAACAAAATTTCCTGGATTAAGTAACAATGCTGCAATTCTGGCTTCTTTTTCTTCCCAATCAGAAACTCTTGTTTTACTTGGTGACCTCAGAAATGCCCACGTGGTTTCGCCTTGGAGCTGCTCCCTCCCTCAGGCTGTTGTTTTAGCTGATATCAGCCTGTTGCTCAACCTGCACCTCCTGACTGCAGAAATGCTTTGTAAGAGAACCCTTTTGGGCCTTACTGAACATCCTCACTGCTCCCAGGATTCCTGGCATCTCAACCAAATCCTGGCAGTTCACCCTTTGCCTTGAGTCGCTGGCTGAGGAGTGGCTGGCTGAGCTCCTCCATGTGTCTCATGACTCTGGAGCTTTTAGATCCATCCACTGGCCAAGCCAGCCCTAGAAACTGGCCAAAAATGCTGTTTTCTGCCGGTCTCTGCCTGCAGAGACCCTGGTGAACACTCTAAGGGTGGCTGGGGACAGGGAAAGGAGACAGACAAGGCATGTGGGTGGAGAATTCAGTCTCCCCTTTTTGGCAGCCTCGAGTCGTGGGAATGTTTCAGCTGCAAGGTGCAGCTTTACACTGAACCTGCTGCTCCCCTGAGGGTTGTGTCCCTTCACAGTGGCTTTTAGAAGGAACCAGGAGCACCAAACACAAAGCAAGGAAGGGCCTGGCCTGTGCTAAACAAGTGTGGAGCGGAAATCTTGTGGTTTTTTTCTTGTCAGACTGGAAAGTTCCTGATTTGAGTAGTTTCAGCCTTGGTCATCACTGCCTATTTAGACAGGTTTTGGGCAGTGTGGCCATGCATGACTGAGCAAGCTACTCATAGAGCAACTGGGTGGAAGAACTGATTCCTTAGACCAGGCAGAGCATTCCTCTGGCTGCCTTAAACCTGAAATTAAGGTGGCTGCTGTCCAAGGGCAGTCTGAGAGCTTTGCTACCACATAAAACTGATAATTTTAGTGGGAGCATCTTCCCAGCATTGTGACCACGACCCCAGGTCAGCAAGACCTGGTGACCAAGGTTTAAGAGCTGGTGGTCTGCCTGGAGTTAATGGTTCTGCCCAGTCTGAAACAGCCAGATGTGATTGCTGAGGAGTCCATATGTTCCTGTGGCTGCCCTTCCCTGTTATCTCCTTGCCCTGATGGAGCAGGGGGCCTGCTCTGTCACTGTTTTATTGGCTGCTGGAATGCTGATATCTGTGGGCTTAGCCCAACATCTGC